ATGCTAACTAGAAACTCTTGGCCCTATACCTTCAAGGAGGGGGCTCCTTGTAACAGGCCCTGGCAGTCAGCTACTGAGGACTGTTCACAGCGTACCGGTGCCAACTACGTGGAATGCCTCACCCCCCTCAGTCAAGAACCGCCACGAAGACAAGAGCTTACAACTGAGCTGCGAAGGCATCGGAAAAGAGCCGAATGGTAGTAACAAAGTACATGAATTGTCATGTTGAAGATGTTACCCAGAATCATTCCTGAGCCCCTGCCGCCTCCCACTCGCCCAAACTTGGGCTCAGTGCCCGCCGAGGTGGTCTCAGATGTGGAAAATCTGAAAAGGACAACTCAGCAGGACCAAAAGCTTGTGCTCCTGCCCTTCTGCTTGTGCTAGAGTATGGGTCGGTACACTGCTAAGATGCTGCTGATCATCGTTACGATTCTATTCTTCTTCCTACCAGCTCGTGGCAGCGCTTCTCAAACCACCCTGAACCCTAAAGCCCCCAACCCTTCAGCCCTAACTAAAGCCTTAAACAATCTTAACCTCTATACCATACGATTTTCAATCCAGGACTCCGTCGTGACCACCGTAACACTTTGACCCGGATCACTGGTTCCAGCAGAGATCTGATCCACCTCGGGTGATCTGGGCCTTGGCCATCAAGACTGGAGCGCTTCTCCCTAGCCGGCCTGGGAAACAAGAATGAGAAGAAGACTGCGAAGAGCATAACCGGTAACAACCTAAATGATATAGATAACATCATTAAGCGACATAGGACATAGGTAACAGTAATAAGACGAGATTCTCAGGATGTTGGGGCTCCTGTGGTCCACTGGCCATACCGAGCTCTGGCATCTGCTGAACGCTGGCCGTCTGGAGCTCTTCCGCTTGAGGCGGTGCACTGAAAGCTGCCTCGATGGAGAAAGACGTGATGTTGGTCAGGTTGATCTCGCTCACCACACCATTCAGCAACAATACGCTTAAGATGGCGCTGCCCATTGTGCTCAGCATTAGCCGGGAGCTGCAACAAACGTGCTGCGCTCGTGCCATGGCACAGGGCGTGCCGGTTTCTCAGCATTCTTTGTGCCGTTCCGAACACGCTGGGTTGGGCGAGTTTTTGTTTCTCTTAGCCCTTGTGGAAGGATTGGAGCACTGTCCCGGCCGCAATGGAGCGAACCAAGCGAAAAGCAAAGATCTGATACCACACGGCCTTGTACTCATGAGCCGCTAATCAGCCGAAGCTTGAACAACGAAGCAAACTTGAGAATCTTGAGACATGTCAGAAGATGCCCGTGCTGCAGCAAAGCGCACGGCCTGCCTGACTTTGGCAGATGGGGTGGTGGCGACAAGAACGAGAACCGACTTTTCCCCGCTAGGGATGGATTGTGTCCTCGGTCGCAAATCCATAAACTGCTTCCAAGCCTGTCTGCAGCCAGGCAAGGGCCCTTCTTTATAGAAGATCTCAGTGCACTGCGCATGGCTGCTGTTCGTTTCCGCCTCTCCTGCACCACAGATTTGACATGGAATAGTCCAGCTATTCCGGTGCATTGCCGGGACCCTTTCGAAGCCATGGCAAAGTGTGTCACAGTTCCGTCCTGCTCCCAGTGCATGTGCGGCTGGTCTTCTTGACCTGTCACATTCGGGACTCGCTAGCCTTCGGAGGATCGAGCTCACGAGCCGTGCCTTCCGAGTCGTAGGCTATCAGGTAGGTGTCGGTTTCGGCACTGTAGGCAACAACTCGTCCTGCATCTTATGTACAGCTAGCACGCAGGTTTCGGTCCGTTCGCCCAGCCTGTGTAGTAGCGCTCATTGCTATAGCCGTGGTCTTCGGCCAGGACTGCCACATGCCATCCCACGGCATCCTGAAGCCAAAACAATGAGCTTCCGGAAAGGCAGCCCTCAGCGAGTGCCTCCCCGAAGGGTCGTTCGATGAGCGACCGGAGCAGATTCTCACCTCTCTTTCCCACAGATCGCGGGCATTTCGGACTCGGCTCCACGCGCATCAACCCAGCAAAGGTACCGCTCGGAGCACTGGAGTCATCCACTCTTTGAGTTCGATCCTCAGATACCCGAACGAACGGGCATAGAAAGAACCCCACATTCAGCCTTTTGGGATACTTGGAGGCTGACGTAGGCATCGGCCCAGACGTGGTGGGAGTCGCCGGCGGCTCTCCAATTCCGGTCGACCGCCAAGCTGGCACCTCGAGCACCACGGCGAAATTTCCGATGGGCTCAATTGGGCCCCTTTAATTGTAGTATAAATGTAATAAGGAACCATGAAGAATAATG